CACAACATCACAGAACCCAACATGACGGAGACACTGACTTCTCTACGGCCTCTCTGGCCACACTAGGACGTCAGTACCTGGAAAGCAGGGTACATCAAGTACCCAGGGCTCACAATACAACTCCAGTGATGAGCACAGCATACACAGGCAATGAATATTTGTTGAAAAATGAAAAATATAAAAATGTGGAGAACAAATATCTTAATATCTGTTGGAGATTTTTCCAGACATCAAAGAACAGCTGGCTTCTGAAGCAGTCTAGGGTGGAAAGTGGGGTGAGAGTTGGGAGGGAGCAGATTCCAGAGAGAACCACACAGGAGTAAGGCACGACCTGGGCGTGGAAATGTCTTTCCTCCACACCCTTCTGAAAGGCCAGGCTTCCATTCTCCGCTGTACTACCTCCTTCCACTCTTTTCAGGACAGGGACCAGACCACCAGCAGGACTTTGTAAAATAACTTCAATTATCTTCTAGATCTCTGATCTTTTTTTGAACTCCGTCCTCAAATGTGTGCGGCAGAGCTGAGCGTAAGCCACAGAGCTGAAGCTAGTACAAGGTCAACATCAATTTTTGTATCAAGAACACTTATGGCCGCTCATCTGCAAGGCTAAGTTCTCACTTCTTCTCAGCCTGGTGCCATTTTCCCCTGCATGAACAGCAAGAGGGAGGCACAGAGATTAACACACCAGGAAGGCTCTGCAGCCTGGACTCCAGGTTCTTCCACAGGAAAACTTCATCTGAGCCTGCTGCTCCCTTCCACGCCTGTTCCTCTGCCTGGCTTCCCTGTGCCTGCCTCTTCTAACCGCAGCTCAGACCTGGAGGGAATTCCAGCCCCCAGATGGGCCTTTTCTATTTTATGGTCACTATTTTGACCACTGGGGATACCCAGATCATCTGAGCTACTTCCAACCCAACAACAGCACCTGCTGGACTCCCCACGTTACTACACTTTCTTTTTTTTCCCCATTGGATTTTTGTTTTGCTTTGTTTTGTTCAAGGCAGGATCGTGTTATATGAGCCTACACTGGCCTTGGACTCACTCTGTAGCACAGGTTAGCCTTGAACCCATGGTCTCCTACCTCAGCCTCCTGAGCACTGGGACTGTCAGCATGCACCACTCCATCTAGTTTCCATTAGATTTTAATAATCACTGTCACATTGCGGGTAGCAGAAAAGTCCCAGTGGGCTAAGAAAAGTCATTAGCTTGGGGGCCTTGATGTGCTGTGCTGAAATGATTCCCAAATGAGCCTCAACTTATCACCTGGTTAACAGTCACTAGAGAAATAGCTCAACTGGTCAAACACCACCTAAGTTCCTGCCTATTTTTTTGTATATTAAAATATTAATCTGTTCAGCCATTTGACCCAAGGGAAAAAACCCACAATTATTTAACTACTGAGGAACCCTCTCCCCTGCCACCAAGTTGGGCAGTAGGCAGGAAAGAGAGCCTGTCCTTGTCACTGCCCAGAGGACGTTCCTTACGTGATGCAAGGAGGCGCAGTGGCTAGCACCTCCCAAATCCCCAGCAGGGATCTCTCACAAGATGGGGAAATAGCTCCCAGCCTGGCACAGGTGCAGCCAGGATATCTCTGGAGGTCACAGAGCTGTGCAGCTACTGTGCCCAGCCCCCAAGGCTGAGTCACGCTGGCACTGGGTGAAAAGGCCTTGGAAAACAAAGGGGGTTCTGTGCACCGGGCCAGCCCACAGGTGTGTGGAAAGCAGAGTCAGGTGGCCTGAGGGAGCGGGCCAATCTGGTTTCCATCACGGGACTAGTGGGGAGGGGAGTCGGTGGCTCAGGGTGGCACCTTCTCTGCCGGGAAGTCTAAGCTCAGCTTGCTCACAGGAGTCCTTCTAGTCCTCTCATTCTTGCTTGTTTGGCTCCTTCTACAGACAGAGAATTGTCACACTCCAACAGGTGATCCTAAGAGGTGGCTGTGGTGGAGTCACAAGCTACCTTCAGCCCGAAGAAGAATGTGATTGCCTGCCTTCCTGCTCTCAATCCTGCAACCAAGGCCGTGCGCTACCCTGTAGGCGCCGGGTCCGACTTTGGCCCAAGCAGGAGGAGGTCAAGGGGCACCACGCCAGAGGCTCAACCCCAAGTCAACCTTGGCACTCTTCCTGTCCAACTTCTCCCCAGCTCTCAGGACAGGGCTCTTTCCTTGTCCCCTGTGACCAGGTGCTTTCTCGGGACTGTCTTGACCCCTACTGAATCCTCTTTGGTTCTTTGTATTTTCTGGTCTTATAGCAATTTTGAGTGTCCCTACGCACAAGGCAGGTCGGTATCTTGTTCTGGAGTGAGGAGGGGCTGGCGCTCTGGCGCTAAGGCCATTGCACCTCCTCGCTATATGACCTCTGGCAAATGACTCACTAAGAACTTTGGTTTCTTGCCTAAAACATGAGTCAGAAGAGGACTGTGATGGCAAAAGGGGAGAAGGTGAGAAAGTAACTACCACAGAGCTTAGAATCTAGAGCATTCCCCCAAAGGCCTGTTTCCTCTCCTGTGCCAAGGTCTGACCAGGACAGAGACCCCTTGGTGCCACTGAGCTAAAGGAAGACTCCAGTACTGCTGTGGTGGCGACATCAAGCCATCTCACAATGGCTGCTTCCCTGTTGGTAACAGAACCACAAAGTTTTTCACTATGCATGGCTGGGCCAAATCGAAACTACATTTCCCAGCATTCCTTGCAGATGGGTGTTAACCGTGTGCCTAGGCTCTGGCCTGTGAGGGGTAGGTGGACATGCTGCTTATGACTTCTGGGAGGGGGAGAGGGTGCTCGTGTTCTTTCCTGTCACTTTCCTGAAGCCTGGACTGAGACATGGCGGTCGGAGCTCAACTGGCCGTTTCAACTATGAGGCGAAAGCAAGTAAAAGTCATGAAACACAAAGGCAGCTGGGGCCTTGCCCTCTGGGGACTGTGCTGCATGGGTCACCTCCTTCTAGACTTCATCTGAGACAGAAATTGCCTTCTTGTTTCAGTCACTGCTGCTTCCAGACAAACCTCATCCTGACTAATTATAGTCTACCCGTTCGACCAAGCTTCCTTCCTGGGTCATTACTGGAAGTTCACTGCAGGCCTTCAGAAAGCGTCCAGATAGTTCTGCTGGAAGAGGCAGCTCCAAGAGGCTGGAAGGAAATGGCTTGCATGGGCTGCAGCTTCCAGGAGGCCTGCAGGCATGGCAAGCCTGTTAACTCCAGAGGACAGGGAAGGGAGCGGTGTTTACTGTGAATCACTACACAGAGGCTGCTCTTGAATGTGACAGGGGATCACATGTACTGGTTCCACTGACTGCAGTTAACTAGGGACAAAATAAACTTGGTTGAACATCAAGACAGTGCACCAGCCTTGTTAGCTTGCCATTTGCTGTGGTTCTTACCTGCCTGGTGACAGTCTTTAGCAACTGCTTGCATCAGTGTGTGGATCTCAACTGTCCCCAGATCACACAGAGGACTTACAACAGACCTAGGGCAAGCAGTGTCACTTAAGGTGTGGCCCTCAGACTGGCTCATATAGTCACTACTTCTCATGTGGTCACTAGTTTGCAGTGAGGTGAGGAGCTTGTGCCCAAAGGAGATGATCTGTAGACTGAGCACATTGCTTCATTCAAGTGACATTTTCTTTTTTCATAGGACTTTCTCAGTGAGGCAAGCAATGGAGTGATGCCTGTCTGTCTGGGACAAAGCTCCTAACCTGGTTTCAGACAGCGCTTTGAATAGCTCTGCTCTAGAGTGTCAGTGCCCTGTCAGAGAGCATTGAGAAGAAAACAGGGCTGGCAGAGTGGCTCAAGTGGTAGATCACCTGCCTAGAAAGCCTGAGGCCCTGAGTTCAAACCCCAGTACTGAAAAAAAGAAAGGAGAGAGAGAGAGACAGAGAGAGAGAGAGAGAGAGAGAGAACTTCTGGCTCTCCTCCTGTTTTGTCAGTTATTGCTTCCTGGGGATGGGTCTTTTGGGGGTAACTCCTACTCCTTTGTAGTTTTAGTAGCCTTCCCTGATGGCCTTCAACTCCACATCCTAGCCTCTTCAAGCAGATAGATAGATAGATGATAGATAGATGGAAAGATGGATGGATGGATAGATAGATGGATAGATGGACAGATTGACATATAGACAGATAGATGGACAGATAAGCAGATAGATACATAGATAGATGATAGATGGATGGATGGATGGAAGGGAGGATGGAAGGATGGATGGATAGATGTATGAGTAGACGTATAGATAGATGGATGGATGGATGGATGGATGGATGGATGGATAGATAGACAGACATACAGGTAGGTAGATGGACAGATAGACAGATAAGTAGACAGATAGATAGATAGACAGATGGATAGATGGATGGATAGACAGATGTAGCAATAGATAAATGTGCACATAGATAGATGGATTCTTTGTCTTACCCAAGTCAAATAAGGCAGACTCTGTGAGGACGGCACCTACATACCTGCATTGTAACACTGCACCAAAGCTGACTGAGAAAACACCCCTGGTGGAGGGGCAGCATTTGGATACGGCAGGAGGACAGAGTGTGAATTATCGTTTCAAAACCAAAGCGATACGAACTTCTGTATGCACTTGTAAACTTGGACTGTCCCTGCTGGGCACCACAGACTTTTAACAGAGCCTCTCCTGGCTTCCTCATTGTGTGTTACTGATTTGAGGGGACAAACGACCTTGAATATAATTTAAACACTGAGCCTTGTGATAATACTCCAGCAGCTGTGCTTGCTTCATACTGCTCTAGTTTCCCTAAAGCTTTCTGTCCTTACTGGATTTATTCTCTCAAGAAACACCAGCCCAGCCTGTCTGAAGTCAGCACAAAAGAGGAAAATGAACTTTCTGTCCTTGCCCCCCACAACAGAGCTCCCAACCCACGGCTCCTGCCATCTTGTCTGGTTGCACAAGAAGTTTGGAGCCCACAGAAACAGGTGCATGGCTCCAAAATGGTGACATCTTCTGGGTGTGACTCCAAGGGTGTGGGACCCACATCCACTGTCCCTTACCTGCAGTTCCCAGGCTCAGCAGCACAGCAACCCAGAGGACCCAGAAAAACATGAGGATGGCAAATGTCCACACTGGCTGGAGCAGCAGGAAAGGAGTGGTGCGGATGGCTTTGTGGGTGACTTGGAAAAGCTCAACTGTCAGTTTTATTCTCTTTCTGAGGACAAAAATCAAGATGAGCAGAATTACCTGGTGAGAAAGGGATAAGAGAAAATTATTTTAAAAAGATGGGGAGTGAGGTAGAGCTCAAAACAAACCCTACTGTTTTGCCGACATCTCTGCTAATGTTCTGTGAAGATGTTTGTTCACCACTTCCGTTGTCACTGGGGTTTTTTTTTTCTTTTTTTTTTATTAATATATGCATACAATGTTTGGGTCATTTCTCCCCCCACCCCCCCTGTTGTCACTGTTATAACAGCTCAACCCCCAATCCTAACAGCACCCATGCTGGGCCCTATGTGACCAAGGCCCAGTGCCTTCCTAAAGGAGCCAGCACTCTGGTCTGAGAGTGAAAGTGAGAAGGCTTTCTGGAGCTGGAGAACTGTTTTCTTTTCCTTCCCACAGAACCCCAGATCCTCAGAGAAGGGCCACAAAAGGGTATGTAGGGAGAGAATGGTGAGGATGTCTCAGGGTAGCCTGCTGTGCCCTCTCTTTCCCCTAAAAGAGTCTCTCGTATTAAAGAGACTATCACCTTCCCCCATGTCTGTTCCGCCTTCTCTCGCATTTTTTCACAGGCAGGCTACACCCACCACTGCAATTCCATATACCCAGCTCATTCTTCAACTGCATGCAGACCTCCTGACCCCAACACCTCCTGGAACTTCTCTCCCTAAGGTCATGCCATGTAACTTCCTGAGTGTCAGATCCCAGGGAACATTCCAAGTCTTCCTCCACCATGTGCGGGATTTGAGTCTCTTCTCTCTCTCTCTCTCTCTCTCTCTCTCTCTCTCTCTCTCTGTTTTGGCTCTCCTGTTTTTTTGGTTGTTACTTCTTGGGGGCTTTAGGGGGCATCTCCTGCTCCTTTGTGGTTTTAGTGTCCTTCCCAGGGGCTGGTGACCTCCAACTCCACACCCGGCCTCCCCTCTCTCTAGGAGCTGGCTGAGTGAGCACAGTTACTGGCAAGACTGCCTTGAATATAGCACCTCAGACTCCACTTGTCCTGGACCAATTCCTTGTCCTCACACCCAAAGCTCTTCTTCCTCTGTTTCCTATCTGCAGGGGTCCTTATTTTTCTGGACTCTCCAAGACTGGTTTCCACTGTGTCCTCCCATCCTGTCCTCTACTTTCCCTGCAGTAACACTTGGGCCATCCCACTGCAAATGTTTTCTTGTCTGACTCCCCCTTAAATTGAGCTTCAAAGGCAAGCCTGTCTGTCATGGCCATAGTGCACAGCACACGGCACAATCACAGTCACCTCAGACATGATTTCAGATGGACCTGTCAGGCCATCCTCTCCTCCTCAGCATCCTCACAGCTCCAGCCTCAGCTCAGCCTCAGCCCCCCAATAATCTCTTCGGTACCTTTCTGCATTGACTCCTCCTGACCCACGTCCACCTCTGTCCTACGTCACCCCACAGCTAAAGGGTATTTGCAAAGGGTAAAGTCTAGGAAGCCATCTCCCTACTGAAATCCATCACTGGCTCCCAGCCATTAATGGATGAAGATAGGAGCCTTCCTGACAGGACCTCTCCCACCCGAGTCTCAGATGTTCACCGGGGGAACGCCCACAGGTGGCTCTCCTGCCCAGGGGCCACTGTCACCTTGCCAGAGGTGCCCTTTCTCTTCCAGGTGGGCTGGAGCATTGATCCCAAGCAGGGGGAATAAAGGTGGCAGGGGATAGTAGCTGCTCAAGGTTCTGGCGCCACACTTCCTGACTGTGCTGTGGGGTGGGGAGAGGACAATCCAGGAGCCCAGTGGAGACCTCTAAGTTCCAAGAGGCTCTGTGTTTTCAGGGTTTAACACGATCAGCAAGGAAGAGGAACTGTCCTGTGTATTATTAAAAATGGGAAGGAGGCAAGTGATTTAATGTTTAGGTAAATAAACTTAGCTCTGGGCCCTAAGAGGAATGCTACCACGCGTGCAGTGAAATGTGCATGCTTTATGACTTGCTGAAATGTGTGCACATAACACCTTCTCCCTCTTAGGAGTGCTCTGCTAGTCAGCTCTTAGAAGTGCTGGGTCACTCTCATCTCCCTTGGTCTCCAGCACTGCGGGCAAGGGCTGGCCTGGTGGGCAGAGCTGACCCCCAACACAGGAGCCAGGGCTTGGCTTCACTCTGGTGGGCTCCAGGCTGGTCCTCTTAGACCCTTAGATTGCTGCCATGCCAACCCCTCTCCCTGATATTGATGTTGAAAGTGAGTTGTTCTGAAGCCACTGAAGTGACCTTCACAATCACCCTTCATTTTCTCAGAACAATGTGTTCAAGGCTACTTGTAAGGCAACCACTGGGGACTCAGGAGACAGGAACCCCACCCTTCCAGCAAGTCCTGCCAATAGGTCTCTGCGGGATCCAGGCTACTGTTGAGGCCTCTGGGTCACTGCTGGACAGCAGGAGAGGGAGTGGGGGCTCGGAGGTGAGCAAGAAGGGATGGGTGCAGGGAGGTGCCTCCTCCTTCTGTCCCTCCCCTGCTAGTGTTGGCTCCTATCCTCTCTCTTCCCTAAGAAGCAGGAGTAAGGGGGTGGGTAGGAGAGGGAAAGAGGGCAGCTGACCTCTTCTCTTTTTCTCCTTGGAGACCCATACTGGGCCCTGGCATGGTGCTGGCCCAGGAGGGCAGAACTTGGCTTTCTCTCTGTCCCCTGTGCTGGCTGTGTCTGTGGGAGCAGATTGGCTGGCTAGTAGGGCAGCCTGTGGCTTCCCTGGACACACCTGGTCACTCTCTCCACAACTGGCCCAGCTTCCCCAGGGTGTGTCCTGCTGAGCAGGTGAGGCCTGCTTGCCAGGTAGCATTAGGACAGCTTTCACTGATTGCTGAGCCTCATGGGCTGGATTTGCCTCTTAGGGAGGAGGGAGAACCACACTCCTGAAAGCAACTTTGCAAGAGCATTCCCCATTTTTTTTTTTTAATGTGAGACTGGGATTTGAATTCAGGGCTTTGTGCATGCAAAGTAGGCCTCTCTACTGCTTGAGCCACATCTCCAGTCCATTTTGCTCTGGTTATTTTGGAGATGGGGGTCTTGTAATCTATTTGCCCAAGCTGGCCTCTGACTGTGATCTTCCCGATCTCAGCCTCCCAGTAAGTAGGATTACAGGTGTGAGTCACCAAGCCCAGCTAGCACTTCCTCTTAACAGATGAGCAGACCTGGGCTTGAGAGGCCAGTTATGTCTCTCTGGCCACACAGTGGCTGATGGGGCCGGATGTGGGCACAGGCCTGAGATTGCAAAGTCTGGGCTCCTTCCCTGTGCAACTGGTCATGATGTTGCATGCCGGGTACTTTATCTTACCATGGGGCACAGGCTAGCTGTGTTTTGTGTCTTGCCAACCCCATTGCCTGTTGCTCAACCTGTCCTCAATACCAGCTCATAAAAATGGTGGTGATTGAAAGGGTCAGGCTTTCAGGAGGGTAAGAGTTGAGGTGGCTTATCCAGAACCACTCACCTGGGAGTGAGGCAGATGGACAGAAGAGGTGATAGGGAAAGCAAAAAAGATAAGAGGGCCAGACTCAAAAGTTCACACGGAACCGGGAAGTCAGAACCTGAAAAGTCAGAGTGGCAAGTTCCCTTCCATCCTTTAACTTTTAGATGTTAAGTCACAAGAATGGCGAGGGGCTGCCTGTGTCAGCCCTCTCATTTGAGATGCTAAGTAGCTACAAAGTCTTTGAACAGGTAGAGACAAAATTAAAATGCAAGATGGGAAGACCCAAAACTCACAGTACTGTCCCCATGTTTTGGGCAGTCCACACCTCCATGTTTTAGGATAATAGCAAGACCAATGTGGGCCATATTTTGGGTAACAAACCCATCACAGAACCCACTGTCTCTAATTATTAGGGGCTGCTATACCAGGACCACGTGTAGTCCCAGCTCAGAAAGTACAGAGAGCTCAAATGAGGAACCGCCATTTTGAGTCTTCTTCACTCCCATTTCCTGTGTAGGAAGCAGGACTGTTTCTCCCTACTTTACCCAGTTTTACTAAAATAAACCTTTGCTAGGCTTTCACTGTGAGACTCTCCTTTAAGTGAGACCCTGTGATCTACATTTGAAACTGGAGGCTGAGCATCCCTTCCCTCCTTCCCTCTTCTGGTGAAAAGAGGAAGTCCCCAAATGAGTGGTCCATGAGCCATGGCTCATGAGAGGCCAGCTGCCCTCACGGACCCAGGTGAGAACATTCTCTCTCCACTCCCAGCCTCTTCTTCTCTCACCCCACACTCACTTCATCCCCACCCTGTGATCTCGCTGCCTTGAGTGAGTCTTGGGGAGGAGAGCCTGGGGACGAACCCACTCCCCACAGCTTGGATGCAAGGAGCCCATTTTTCTCCGGATCCCTTCACCGTCCCTGTCAGAGGCAGGACAACGAGGTGCTTCCTGTTCTTAGGTGAACACACAGCTGAAACTTCACCGTGGAGAGGAGGAAAATGTGAAGCTAGCAAATACAGAGGATCCGAAGGAGGTCATGAGGTCATGGACAGAATCTGCTTCTGAAAGATCTGGTGATCCCAGGTTGCTCCTCTGTTGAACAGTGAGGAAGCAACATGGCAGACTTGACCACAAGTTACCTGAAGTCAATTCAAGACCCTCCCCAGGTTCCAGCAATTCTAGCACTTCTGATGCCACCCAGGGAGTAATGGGGCCTACCATCCGCCCCCACCAACCAGCTAGTGCCACCTCAATGTTCTGAGATTGCCCGTTTGCTGCCAGAGCTTAATGAGGAGGCCACAGGTTCTCTGAATGCCCAAACAACCCAGCCACAGCAGGCTCCAGACGGAGGGCTCTGTGTGCTCCAGGGCACTGGGAGCTGTCACAGTTTTGGGAGAACCAGCAGTCATTGGCTGGAAGGGGTGCCTTTCCCCACAAACAGGAAATGACTGGCCATAAACCTGCCCCTCCACCCTGCAGCCTCCACCTTAGAGCCCGTGGGGGTGAAAATCGTGCAACACAAAGGATTTAACCAACCAGGCTCTGGGAGACACCAGAAGTGACTTGGAAAGAACTAAGACCCTTTTCTTTACTTTTTGAAGGTTTTGATTTATTCCTATACAGGCTTCTCAAATGCAAGGATGGCACTGTATCAGGCAGGCACCTTCTGAGGTGAAAGGAAGTACAGACTGGTTGTTTGGGGCGAGGGTCCCATGATCGGAGCTCTGGCTGGCTACTCAGGCAGCTGCTGGCAGGGCGTTTCTTACCGTGATGACCGAAGATACAATAGCAAAACCCAGCACGCACTTCATGTTTTCCCTTTCTGTGTCCAACTCTGTGCTGAGGTCATTGGTGTAGTCATAATACAGCCACCACAAGACGCCGCAGACAACTAGAAAGCAAAACCAGAGTGTGAGCTCAGCACGCGTGTCCTGAGATCCTCGCCCCACCCTCATGCAGAAGGCCACACAGAGATACAGGGTTGGTGGCTGGCCAGGTGGCCCTGCTCAGGTGGCTGCCCTCCAGAGATGCTGGGCAGAACCACAGATGACCCACCAGTCCTGGGACAACTGCTGGCTTGGGAGCCCCAGGAAAGTGACCCCAGAACACAGGGGTCTACCCCACAAGTTGGGTGTGGGTGTGACACTATAGGCAGGGAGGTGAGAGGAGTGTCAGAGTCCAAAGTCTACACTGTTCAAACAAGTTCCGCTGGTGACAGTTCCTGTAGGGACCTGGAGACTGGCTTCTCACACACAAAGCCAGGAGATTTACACGGCCTGTACGATTCACATAACCAGATGCCCATTAGAAGAAAATGGTGGCATTACACACAATAGATTTTAATGTATTTTTATTTTTGCAGTGCTGGAGGATTGAACCTAGGGCTTTGTGCATGCTAGACAAGGGCTCTACTTCTTAGCAACAGGGCCAGCCCAAGGTTGTGGGTGCCAGGGTCACTCAACTGGCAGGCTACGTCATCTCCAGGACTACGAAGTATGTAGTAGAAGCAATGACACATTGCTTTCTTTGTGAGACCTGAGCGACTCCTGTTGTCCTTCCTGGCCTGACTTTTCTTAGTTAGTTAGACTCCATCTAACTAACTAAAAATGCCAACAAGGCAGTTCTATACTGAGTGGAGAGGCTTTTCACTTATGCAAAAGCAACCAAGTAGATATACTTACACAGCAATCCCAAAACAACCAATGAAATGAAAATGTGAACCAGGAGCGTGGTGAGCAACCAGAAGGTGAACAGCATTGCCACAGACAAAGCTGAAAAAGGAAGGAAGACACATCAGGACAAGAGCCACCAGGGCGGAGGCCGGGGCAGAACCATGACAGCCCAGCCCTGCAGAATAGCAAGGGTAGACAGGCTTATCAATCTCGGGCATCTTGGGGACACCTCCCAAACACCACACGATAATGACTAGACACACCGAGGCCTTCTGCAGCATGTAACAGAAGCTTAGCCAGCTATGGCCAGCCAGTCTCTGAGAATGTGATCGTTTTTCCTGAATTAAAAAGAAGTTAGCTGGGTGCCAGTGGCTCACCTGTAATCCCAGCTACTTAGGAGGCAGAGATCAGGAGGATCATGGTTTGAAACCAGCCCAGGGAAATAGTTTACAAGACCCTACCTCAAAAAAAAATCACAAAAAAAGGGCTGTTGGAGTGGTTCAAAGTGCAGGCCCTGAGTTCAAGCCCCAGTACTGCAATAATAAATAAATAAATAAAATATAAATAAATAAATAAAAAGTCTGTATTACTACCAAACACCTAAATCTCTTTTTTTCTTGCAAGTCCAAATGAACTATTTAAAAATTTTACCAGACTTATCATATGCTTGTCTTCTTACTGGGCTTATATAAAGTTCTATCTTTAAACTTTCTCAGCTATGTTATTAAATCTAAAAGAATAGTGGGTTTAAAATGAAAAAAATGAAGCTTTTTATTATAAAGTGAGGCACATGTATACAGTGCTGCATTTTACCTTCCAGTATTTGAGCCCTAAGGCTATGAATTTTTCTAAATATTTCAATAAAACTACAAATGCTATTTTTCTCTAAATAAAAAATCAGGATTGCATATACGCGTTTCAGTATAGTGGCTGATCACGTGGGTTTGAGTGTCAGCTCTGCCACCTATTCTATCAGCTGTGTGACCTTGGCTAAGTCACTTAGTGTCTCTTAGCCTCACTTGCTCCCCTAAAGGTATGGCAGTTTTCTGCTGAGGTTTTAAAGAGTTAAAAACAAGCAGGATGAGTGGCACAGTCACTCAGTACCGTTATAACCTAGTAGGGACACAGTCCTCATGCGGACACTGGGTTATCATACATGGTATCAGGACTAATCTGCATTTTGGGGGTCACCACGCTAGTACCTGGGTCAAAGGATCCTGTTTGGGCCACGCTCACCTAAATAAGTCTAGAGGTTACACAAGGTTGACAAGTTAGGTTCCCTAAGCATTCACAGCAATCCTAAACTTTTGGTAATAAAATTAAGGAAAACTCAATTTGTAAACTGGCAGAAACATGTTCACGGCTGACCAAAGAGTTTCTTTCAACCAAGAGGCTGGGGGCTGCTGTGGGGACGGGGCGGGAGAGTAGGCTACATGTTGCCCAAAGCACCAGAACACATCAGCCTGTTCAAGAGAAAGGTGAGTCTGTGCACAGGAAATTAATGTGAGTCAACGCCCTGTATAGCTATCCTTATCTCAACCAGCAAAAACCCTTGTTCCTTCCTATTATTGCTTATACTCTCTCTACAACAAAATTACAGATAAGGGCAAAATAGTTTCTGCTGGGTATTGAGGGGGTAAGGGGGAGAGGGAGGGGGCGGAGTGGGTGGTAAGGGAGGGGGTGGGGGCAGGGGGGAGAAATGACCCAAGCCTTGTATGCACATATGAATAATAAAAGAAAAAAAAAAAAAGAGAAAGGTGAGTTTGAACAAAGGGTCAAGAGATCTGAGTCCAGAGATGCCCAAAGAGGTGGGTCCTGACCCAAAGCCTTCAGCGACAGCCACAGCCCCATGGTCGTGCACACCTTTGAGGAACTCCACTTCCCTTCTTGCCAAGATCTGGTGACCTGTGGCTAGAAGGCTCAGCTCCTGTCCCCCGATGGCTGTACTGGGAATCTGTTATGTGTCCACCACTCAGGCACAGCGACCTGAGGACAATTCTACTGAGGACAGCTTTGTAGCAGAGTCAGCCGGTCCTCCTCCATGCTTACTGCCCTCCCTGGCTTGAACCAGAAACTCTGAAAATAATAACCTTACGTTCAAGCCCAGAGCTAATTTTCATTGTACCACACATCCGAGAGCTAGAAGCTTGGGCACTCCTTGAACACTACTACAACAAAAGCAGGAAGATCACCTAGTGCGAGGAAACACAGGCCGAGGACGGTGTCTCTTCCTGCCATGATTCCACTGAGAATTCGATGGAGGGTGTCAAGGTCATTGATCATCGTGGAGGCAAAGGCGGAGTAACACTGGGACGTCTGAGGAATGCACCGGTTAAACAAGGGGAAAGACTTGCTGAAAACAGAAGGGAGAATTGATGGCTAAATATTGAATTATTTATATTAAAACAGGTTTAAAATTCTCAGCAGTCAATAAAACACAAGCTCTGCGGTGACAAGCTCGTTTAACGCCTGAGAAAGTAGGTGACCCCTGGCCACAACGATTAGCCGATGATCTGGATGAGACCCTGATCGTGGAAACCCACAGAAGCTAAAAACCCAAACTGGAGCAGCACCAGTTTCCGTTTTGATTTGTTTTTCTTGCTATGCTGGAGATCGAACCCAGGGCCTTGCAGATGCTAAGCAAGCATTCTACCACTGAGTTCCGCTCCCCGCTGCAGGAACGTCCCTTCCCTTCAAAAATTAAAGTCTGCTCACTCAGTAGACTTCAAGTACACAGTACGTGACCTTAACCCGTCACCACACTCGCGTGGATCACTCACGCCATGGGTCTGAAGCTCAGACCAAGATGCCCCTATCCCCCTCCTTGGCCCCGGAAACCAGAATTTCACTGTTCCCAGGAATTTGACATTTTCAGATTGCGCACATACGTAAGCTCGTGCAGTGCAGTGTTTGTCCCTCTGTGCTGGCCTTACTCTGCTCAACCCAAGGTCCTCCAGGTTCCCCATGTTGTAGCAAATGGGAGGAATGTCTTCTGTTTCTTCTTCTTCTTTTGAGCTGAATAACATCCCATAGTATATATATATGCATCACATTTTCTTTATGGAGAACAACTTTTATCTTTTTTGGTGGTACTGGGATTTGAACTGAGGACCTCGTGCTTGCCAGGTAAGCACTCCACCACTTGAGTCATTCCCCCATCACTTTAGTTATTTTTTAGACAGGGTCCAATTGCCTCAAACAGAGATCCTCCTCCCTATGGTCTCAGAAGAAGTTGGGATTACAGATATATACCACCACACCCAACATTTTTGTTTAGATGGGAGCCTCACTAACTTTTTGCCCAGTCTAGCCTTGAACCACAGCCCTCTAGATCTCTGCCTCCTGAGAAACTGGGATTGCAGGCATAAGCCACTGCTCTAGGCCCAGGAACAACATTTTTGACTGTCATGTCATGGTTCTTCCTACACGACCAACTCCAACACAAGAATCACATTTCTTTAAGGAACGGTCAGGGAGGTGGGCTGGACCACCCAGAAGCTGTATTCATGGCCGTGCCAGCCAGGCCTGAGAGCCTTCCTATAAACAGTGTGCACTTAATCAATGAATAAATGTAAGATTGACACTTCAGTAGCAGCAAACAAAATGAAATAAAACCAGTAGTTGGCCACTTTCTGGAGTGTAAAAGCGTGTACTAATGGGCCTCAGATGCCTTCACAGGCTCCTGCTCCTTTGTTTCTCATGGGCCCCAAACAGTGGAAAACACCCCAGCCTAAGAAGGGCCAAGTTATCTACATTGCTGAAAATCGAGGCAGCCACCAAGCCCTTTGTGAAACTTGTGAATCTGAAACAAGAGAGAACCCAAATGCCAGCCTCGTCACGCTGGCACAAAGGCAGAAGGTGACTTGGGAAGCTTCCAGTGAGCCTCACACAGTATGGGGACAGACTGCTTTACGTGACAAGTAACGCAAGAGAAAAAGGTTAAATTATGAAAACTTTGAAGAGGTAAAACATTGACGTGGCTCAAATCCCAAAAGACACAGTGCTGAAGCTGGAGAAAGTGCCCCGGGTCCCTGAGTCACCGAGCAGCCCTGGCTTTGGGTTTCTGGCTGAGAATCCCGCAAGCATTTTCTAACATATGTAAATTTAGCAGGAATTTTGCAGCTTCACTCAAAGATAACAAAAACTATACTCCAAAAACGGGCCTGCCAAAAAAGAGGGGAAAACGGGTTAGCTTTCTTAACCCAGACACAGGGTTGGGAGTTGGTTAGAAGAGAGTTTTTAAAAATAAGCTTTTGATTTTGGAGTAATTTTAGAGTTACCGAAAAGCCTTAAAGCTGGAGCAGAGAGTTCCTCTGTGACCTATACACGGCGATCTCGGCGACCTTGTGGAGACCAAGACTTGACATTGTGCTGTTAACTCAGCTATGGTTCAATTGGTCTTCATCGTTTCCCACAAATGTCTGCTTTTCTGTTCCAGGATCCACTCAGGATATCACATAGCACTTAGTTGTCATGCCTCCTCTTTGGCTTGTGACAATTTCTTGGTTTTTCCTTGTTTCTCATGACCTTGACATTTCTGAAGACTCATAGTCAAGTATTTTGTACAATGTCTCCCAAGGTGTGGAATTCCCCTCAAGTTTGCTCATGACTGGACTGCTGTCATGGCTTTAGGGCGTGGTGTCACCTTAGCCCTTCTCAAAAATCCCCTCAGGAAACACAATTATCAGTGTGATATCACTTGGTGAAGCTGACCTTGATGACTTGGGTAAGGTAACCTTCTTTCTCTTTTGTATTTTGTCTTGGAAGTAAGTCACTAAGCCTTGTTTCCTCTCAAGAGCAGGGAAATTAAACCCCATTTCCTGGAGAGAGAAGTATTTATATTATTTGGGATTTTTTTTTTTTTTTGGTGGTAGTACTGGGGCTTAAACTCAGGGCTTTACACTTATAAAGCAGGGCTCTATTATAAGGGGACAATGACAGAGGTGACTCCATTTTGGATGAGGGAGGCACTTTGAAAGCTTTGAAAGCAGACATCTAAAGAGACGTGGGAAACAAACAACAGGTTTCTCAGAAATAACAAATCCTTCATCAAAATAACAGCACAAGGTGGGTGGTGGGCCCCAAGACCAGGACAAGTCGAGTAGACTTTCAAGGTCAGGGAGAGCTGAGCAGACCTTCTTGGAATGCTCAGTTTGATAAGGAGAGGGGTGGACAGGTAACCGAGTTCAGGGAGAAGCTGAGTCTGTGCCAACTAATCACAAATGTAGTTTTGAGACAAATAGTTGGACCTGAGCCAGGTAGAGCCCTGTATCACTCCTAGACTTCAGCTATCCTATGGCCTACCTCTTTTCCTGGAGTCCCTCCTGTGCATGCAGGAACTTTGCTGTCCTTTCAATAAACGTTGTGCTTGCTTTACTCTTAACTCCTGGTCCAGTGTCTTCATTCATCAACTTTGTCAGTACAGGAACTGGGGATCAACAATCCCATATCACTCCCACCTGAGCCACAACTCCAGTTCATTTTGCTCTGGCTAATTTGGAGATGGGGGTCTCACAAACTCTTCGCCCAGGCTGGCCTCAAGCCCTGATCCTCCTGATCACAGCCTTCCACGTAGCTAGGATTACAGGTGTGAGTCACTAGCGCCCGGCTATTTGGGAGTCTTATATAAGGAGATTTATCTCCTTTCCTCTATTTATTGACTTAGCAATCATTTATTTGACTCAATGCAATGAATAATTGGCCACTAGGAAGTTTTCTCCCCACTTCCCCTCATCCCTCCTCCTCCTCCAGCATTTCCTTACTTCCTGGTTCTACAAGAGGATGCCATCTAAGCTGTAGAATCAGCCATTTCTCTGGGGACCCTTTGGAGACCAGCAACTAGAAACCAAGATCTGAAGGTTGAGGGTGCCCATGGCTACTAGGGCGTCACTGACTCTAGTCCTCTTGTAATCCACCCTCATGTGCAGTTTCAGTCCTGCTAGCCAGGACCCTGTGATCGGCACAGACGATGGCAAAGCTATCCTCCACAGTTACTCCTTTGTCCCCACCTCGCACACTGAGGCTGTCGCGTCTGTGTGGTACGGATTCATTTGTCACAGTCTACCTTGTGTCCCGGGGTCTCCCCACACCCGGGCTGATTTTGGTTCTTATTGCACTCGGTGAGTTCACTTCTGTTTGGATGCTGACGAGGGCAGGGAGTCACTGGAAGGATCCAGTAGCGTTTTGATTTTTTGGAAAGAACTGTCTCCTGACTCCATCCCTGTCCCCCAGGGGAAGAGGGGAAGGCGCCTCTCTGAGTCAGATGACAAGGGTTTTGTGGGCGGCTCAGAGAGCTCAGGGAAGCACCTGGGGAATCAGGAGGGTGTGTGGCTATACGACAGAGTAGAGAGCTGTACCAAGGAAGGGAGCAGCCAAATGGCATGTCTCAGGGCAAAGGACACCTGAGGCCTCTTAGGGTTCAGATGTGGCCACGGGTACGTGAGAGCCAGTACTGGTCCACTGACCATGTGGAGGGCTGGGGCAGGGGTGGGGAGCTGACTGATGCCTCACGACTGAGGAGGACTTCCCAAATCACCAGCCGGCACAGAGAACGCTGAACACTTGCTCAGAATAGCGATAATTAGGACCTAAGAGGAGCCAGAGAAGCCCTGGGACGGCCTGTGCTTGTGTTTTCATTTTCATCCAGGGCTGGAGAGAAAACTAGCTCCACTGGATAAATTTAAAGAGGCAGAGAAAAACCTTCTGTCTTTATCTTATAGGTTGTATTTGTCTGATTAATTCTACAAGAACAGGCATGTGTTCACGTTACTGACACACAAGCACACAGACCCCACTTGCAGTAAAAGCACGTGTGTCCATGTGTTTTCTAGGACGGCTTCCACAAGGCAGCATCAGAGCTGACAGAAGCACAGACAGTGCCAATGGCTCATAAAGCCTGAGATGCTTCTATATGCAGACCCCGACTTAAAGAAATGCTTCTTTTTTGTGTGTGTGTGGTACTGGGATTTGAACTTAGGACCTTGCATTTGCTAGGCAAGCACTATATTACTTGAGCCACTCCACCAGCCCTTTTTGTGTTAGGTATTTTTGAGATAGGGTCTCGAGAACTATTTGCCTGGGCTGGCTTCGAACCACCATCCTCCTGATCTCTGCTTCCTGAGTAGCTATGATCGCAGGTGTGAGTCACCGGTGCCTGGCACAGCTCATTTTCATTTTTACTTTAGGATACTTTTTAGATAGGGTATCACCTTTTGGCCTGGGCTGGCCTTGGACTGCCTATATCTCCCAGGTATCTGGGATCTCAGTGCCACTACCCCTGACTCGATGGAGATGGAGTCTTGCTAACTTTGCCTGAGCTGGCCTTGAACCCATCTTCCAATCTCTACCTCGAGG